GGATGCTGCTCCGCCCCGCTCCCGGCTCCCCGCCCGGCCTCGGCCTTTGTTGTGCGCCGTGAATGAATGGAGGCACCGGGGGTCGGGGGGAAACGCAGTGCGGGGTGAATGCAAGTAGGTGTGAATGTAATGTCGGGGGTGGGGAGCACTGGGGGGATCTTTGTGGCTCCATGAAGAAAGGGGGGAAGGAGAGTGTGAGAGACTTGCGTGTGTAATGCAGGCGTGGGGGTGTGAATACAGGCCGGGGTGTTCCTGGGAACCGGAGTCCCTCACACGACCGGGATTGAAAGAAGGGGGGGGGGAGTGCGCGCGCACCCCCGTGACGGCCTGTGGAGGTGCATCGGGAGTGGTGTGCTCCGGCCTCCTTGTGCAGCCGAAGCCCTGGCATGGGACTCAGGGAGATGTGGGATCATTTCTGTGGCTCCGGCGGGGTCTCCCGATGGCTTTGAGTAAATCACCTACTCTCTCTGCTGTTTCATCATCAGTAAAATATAGGTTCAAAACATCTTCTGCTCACCCGCTGTCCTTTCACCTTGTAAACTCTTGAGGGCAGAGGTTGTCTCCGTAAGAATTTGTACAGCACCAAGCACAGCAAGGCCTGGAGCACCGAGCACTACAAACAAGGGTCTGGCTACACAGACGCATGAGCGTGAGGGTGCGAACAATGAGGCAATGAGGAGGTGGTGGTTTTCCCCACTGTCAGCCAGGGATTCGTCACAGGGGAAGAGGCAGCAGTGAGCTAGCGCTGTGACCTGGCACCTTAGCCATCCAGCTGATCGGTTGTTTGCATGGCTGTACCTCCCAACGACGGAAGGACACTGGGCATGGCAGAGGGTTAAACAGAAGAGAAAAGAGCACGAGTTTCATGTTGCCAGTGTAATTCCAAAGCGTTCGAGTGTTACGCACAGGTTGAGAACCGTAAACCGGGGCTCGTTCCCTGACATAGTGATGGTTTCTCTCTTGCAAGAGAACACAGGATCAAACTGCAGTGAATTTAAGCCTGGGGTGGGGGAGGGAAAAAGGCAGACCGAGGCATTAAACCCCTTGGGTGACCTGTTTCACTTGAGAAAATGACTCATTCCCCTTTTTTGTTCCTGCAGAGGAGAAATTGCAAACTGGGTTTTTGTTTAACTTCCCTTTCCCTCATTTCTTTCTTCTGTCTTTTCTTTGTCCAAAAACATTACTGCTCTGCCCCAGCCCCTCCTGATATTGCTACCACCCCCGAAATGAAAACGAACCCCCCCCGCGCCCCGATCCTGCTAGGATCTCACGGCTCATTAGAGATTTTCTGAAAGGACAGAGGTACAATAGGTTATGAAATCTTGTTTCATAACAAGTAATACTTGGTGGAGAAGTGAAGGAGAATCTGGAATGATATTACGGATAGTTTTTGGGAATGCACAATAAAAAATGAACCTTCTGGGATGACGTGCTCATTGGAAAAAACGGTGTGCATACTTGGAGTCCGCTAGCCCCTGTGTATATTCATCACTAGGAAACTTTTATTTTTTTATTTTTCAGTCATGGGCTTGGATTCCACTCAATCCTGGCTGTGAGGACTGCAGCTTCTCAAGCCGTGCTGAGGACAGGGATAGGCACTCAACCAATATCTCGGGCTGTGACCTAATTAGCTAAGCAGTGTTGAGTATTAAGCAATATTGAATATGGGAGAATTAAAAAAAAAGGCAGCAGTAACTGGCTGACATGGTGCTGGAGGCTCATTAGGTGGCATTCTTTCTACCCAGTTGATACCACCACGTCCATGCTCCCCAAGGGGTGATGTGGATTAGGGTGCGGTTGGAAGCACTGGATTTTCTTTTCCCCCACAAGGTAAGGTATCCTTATCCCCAGACAGGATGACTTGGCACTTGGGCGTAGGTTGACACTTGAGGTCACTAAAGATGCCTGGGTGCTTGTAAAACTATTTCTTTACTATGAAATAAGTCTGCCACCAAGTTCCCGCGGAAGTCACTTCAACCAGCGTTTTTCAAGGGTGGCTGGTAATTGTGCAATCCTTATTTCCCAGGTGCCCCGTTTGGAACGCTAGAATTCAGAATGGCAGGACTGCTGGGCTCCCACCGGGACACATGGCAGGAGGCAGAGTAGATGTGCACCTTATGCACCAGCGCTCTTCAACCTTTTGGCCCCATGGGTCAAGATGAGAGGTGCAGGGCCCGTCTGCAGGCTGGATCAGACCTAGGGTGGCCACTGATGCATCCCGGGAATACAGGACAGCCCCTCGGCCAATCAGTGGTGAGGGGTGGGGCCGCCCCTTCCTCAGTGAGGGGTGGGGCCGTTGAGCCCTGTGGCCAATCAGCAGCAAGGGGTGGAGCCACTACCTCCCTCCCTCTTTCCATCCCTCCCTGGATGGATGGGAACACCTCTCCTGGCTGTGCGCCACCCTCCCTTTAGCACAGCCAACAGAATCACAAGGACAAACGATTGACATATATTTCCACCAATGAACTGAAAAACAGGACTTTCTGCTGTCCTTCATTCAGACATGGACAGGGGACAAAGCACTGAAAGTATAAATGACCACCCTAATCTGACCCTGCATGCCAAGATCAGGCTTGCATGCTCAGATCAGGCCCTTGCGCCACTCCTGCCCAGCTCCAGCATCACGCCCTGGGGCCCTACACCATCATTCTGGGTCAGGATTGGACCCCATGCCCCCCTGTGTGCCCAATCTAGCATGCCACAGACCCATGGGGAGCCCTGCAGGCTGAATCTGGCCTGCAAGCTGGGGGGTTCAACATGTATATTATAGACTAACTGATCAGAGATAAATAAGCTTTCATGAGTCACAGCTCACTTCAGCAGATGCTAGGAAAGGGCATGCAGGAAACAGGCTATCAAATAGGAAAGATCTAAATACAAAAGACAGGGAAGGGGGTGGGCAAAGGGAGAGGGCAGTGCTGAGACGGGCAGAAGGGGCTGGAAAGAACACAAAGCAATAAACCCATAGGGACATAAAAGCTAATCCAGGCAATGGGATAAGAATCTGTAGTCCCTGTTTACTGTATACTTCACACAATCTAGTCTGTGGATGATTTCTTGTTCCACAATTAAAATTTTAAGAACAGCTACTCTGAGGCCTGTGACAAGATGTCTAGGGAAACTAAAGTGTTTTGCCATAAATTTGCATGTGTTTCTGGACTTGATGTCAGCTTGGTGCCCTTTCTGCCTGTCTGTCCATCCAATGTAGAGCACAGAAGGGCACTGAGCAGGTGATAGCATATATAACATTGGTAAAGACCAAGTGAATGAACCTCAGATGCTAGAATCCAATGGTCTAAACATCTCTCTAGTTACAAATGGTGTGAAACAAAACAAAATGCTATAAAATGCAATCTACTCTCACAAACCAGCCTGTCAGCATCTCAGATCGAGTAGGCCTCAAGCCTTAGTTCACAATTTTGACAATTTCATCTTTATCATTTAGTATCTCAGCATCCCTCCTCCAATCAGTAAAACAGGTGATAGCAGTTCCCCTCACAAGGATTTTTGAGAAAGTACATTTGTTCATGTACATGGAGTACTCGGACACTATACAGAAAGCAACAAGAAAAAGTAGCAATTCTGTAATCAGTGCATGTTTGGACAGTGTGCACTCAACATGATAAGAGGTCAAACATTGAATGAAAACTTTTAAGACAAACAAGGAACCATTGTCCATTCACTGAGCACAATCCATCCTATGCACTGAATAAAGGTGGGTCCCTTGGATAAAATAATACACAAGCAGACATTCAAACTCACTGCACAAGGAAAGTGAATTCATGTTGCATGGACAACCATAACCTTGCTTTTCCAAATGTCTGCCTTGCCACTTAAGGGCATGGGTATATACATACTTTACAGAGGGATAAAACAAGGTGGGGCTTACCTGGGCATCAGCTAGTCCGAAGTGCATACACCTACTACTTGGTAAGTGAAAGCTGAACTGTGGTAATTTACCCCTTTTTCACTAAGAGCTATGCTACAGGAGTTTAACTTCCACTTCCACAGGTAAAAGCATGTACCATACGGTAGCTAATACAAGTTAGGTCAGGGGTCCTTTGGCCCTATGGTAAGTTGGTTGCATGTCCATAGCCTTAATGGTAGTGTAGAGCTAGATACAGACACTCAAAAAGCTGGGAGCTGAATCAATTTAGTCTTGGCAGGTTAGTCTAAATTGCACAGATTAAATTGAAACAGAAGTGAACTGACATTTATTTACCTTCGATTCAGGAAATCCTGGGCACCGCACTTCAGGAGGGATGTGGCCAGCATCGAGAGGGTCCAGAGGAGGGCCACTCAGATGATCAGGGGGCAGCAGGGCAGGCCCTACGAGGACAGGCTACGGGACCTGACCCTGTTCAGCCTTTGCAAGAGAAGGCTGAGGGGGGGACCTGGTTACAGTCTATAAACTTACCAGGGGGGACCAGAGGGGAATGGGTGAGACCCTGTTGCCCCTGAGCGCCTCCCAGAGTAACAAGGAATAACAGCCACAAGCTGATTGAGAGTAGGTTCAGGCTAGACATCAGGAGGCACTACTTCACAGTCAGCTTCCAACGGAAGTGGTGCTGGCTCCTACCTTAAGGGTCTTTAAAAGGAGGCTTGATTATTACCTAGCTGGGGTCATATGAGCTTAACTTAGTGGGGGTCATATGAGCCCAGTATTCATTCCTGCCCATGGCAGGGGGTTGGACCTGATGATCTGCTCAGGTCACGTCTGACTCTACATCTATGAATCTATGAATGTATGAAATGCAGCCAAATGCCTGCAGTGGCTCAGGCCAGAAGCC